CACCTGGACCCAGGCTGACCTCTCCTCCTCCCTGAAGTTCCAGAGCTCAGCTGCCGCACCTGGTTTCCCCAGGCCCTGAGTCACTGTCTGGAGCGGGAGAGCCCCAGTAGAGGAAGGATGGATGGAGAGGCTGGCCTTAGGAATAATTCAGATGAACTGTGGGCAAATCACTTACATGTCCAGTTTTTTACTTGTAGGGATAGATGGACATATGGCTGCATGAAGAGACAAAGAGAGAAATGTCCATGGGATTTTATGAGGATTCTCTCCTCCTCTTTCTTGTGAGTCTCATGATTAGCAGCCATCACAGAACAGACACTGTGCGGGTTCTCTCACGTGCCCTCACTGAATAGCCCAACAGGTCAGCGACCCTGGTACGACTCTTCCTGTTTTATACTCTTTAGGACACAAGACACAGAGGTCAAATCCTTGCCCGAGGTCGACATCCTCCTTCGTGGCAGAGCTGGGGACTATCACGGACTCCAAACTCACCGCCCTTTCTTTTGGCTACTGGGAATCTCAAACTCCTCTGCCTTTCAGGGCCCGGGTAGCTGATGTAAATCAGCGAAGCCAGCCAAGGGGAGATGCAAGACCAGGTATTTGGGAAGGTGCCAAACTGGGGTATGCTCAACTTGCAAAGCCAAAGCTCTCAACCAGAGACCCAGGGTCTCCCTGGTGGTGCAGGGCTGGGGCATTTCCTCCCTGAGCTAAACCCCTGCTCAATGGGAGAACATGGCAGCTCGAAGCTCAGCAAGAAATACATCCAACAGCTTTAGGAACAGCAGATTGGGGGGGGATGGTGGAGGGCAAACATTGACCACATTTTCTGCTGAAAATTCAGTTGGGAATTTATGCTGTGACCTACATGACCCCAGCCTCTGCCCCCAGCAACTTTTCCTGTCCCCTCAGGAACAGCAGAACATGATGCATTTCCCAAGGACGAATTACTCTGCAGAAAACATTTTAATAATGTGCTAAATGACAGCACAACATCATTTAAGCCTTCACCGATTTGTGGTCCAGTTCTGTGGATTGAATTCTTGGATTCCAAGCCTCCCTCATTAACAGGCTTTCAAAAGAGCACCTGACATCCCCCCCCCCCCCCCAGTGTCTGGGGTAACATCTGCCACGTACCACGTCTTGGCGCCCACCTTTCCCTGGAATGCCAGGAGGATGCAAACAACACGGGGCTCCGAAGGAGGCGGCTACTGGGGGCCACTCTTCATCTGCCCACCATTTTGGGGGCAGATTCTGGTCCCCACCTGATACACAGAGTTCAAAATGGAAAAGAAATGGCCTGCTTTCTACCGTCCTGCTTTCTAATTCAGACTGCTGCTGGCATTGGCAAGGAAGACAACGGGAGGCAGAAAGATTTGGAGAGGGAATTCAGCTGATTTTTCGACTCTCAGATTTGGGCAGATGGCAGATACTTGGAAGCCATGATGCCCCTTGCAGAACACAGTGAAATCCGGACACATTAAAGAGAAAAAACGACACAGAAACGTGCGTGCAAAAGCAGGTCCTGTTGGATACTGGACTCCAGGCTGCACAAGCCTGAAGGTTTTAAGGAAGACTGATGAAGGAAAATGAGCAAATTCTACCCACTTGCTTCGATTCCCCTGCTCACCTTCCCTCTCCCGCCCAAGATGGAACAGGACCACCTTTAGAAGTTCAGTAGCAGACCACCTCGTAGAACATGCGTGGGAGCAGAGTGTGAGGGGAACACATTGTGAGTAACAGAGAGTCCGGTCCCCCATCCCCCTAGATGGAGCAGTGGGTAAGAGGCAGGACGGCAAACTCAAGCCTCTAGCAGGGGCCAGGCAGGTAACGCAAGTGAGTGTACGAGAAAAACAGCCAGGGAAGGGCTGCTCGGAGTCCAGAAGACTACGGGAGCAGTGGTTCTCAGTGAGGGCAGGCCAGCACTGTTCCACTACAGCCAAGGGAGGCTGAGGGAGAGGGGCTGGGGTGGGGATTCATCCGCCCCTGCTGCCCTAACACACAGTGATTTCTCACTGTTCTGGAGACGAAAAGTCTAAGACCAAAGGGCAGGCAGATTGGGTTCCAGGTGAAGGTTCTCTTCCTGGCTTGTAGATGGCTGCCTTTCACTGTGTCCGCACATGGGGGGAGGGGGAGAGAGAGAACTCTAGTGCCTCTTTTCTCTTCTTAGAAGGGCACTAACCCCATCGTGTCACCCTTATAACTTCCTCTAAACCTAAGGACCTCCCTAAAGCCCTACTTTCAAATATGATCACACTGGGGTTAGGGTTTCAACACAGAAATTCTGGGAGGATACAAGTGTTCAGCCCATAATAGGACATGACCAATTCTGATACCTCATTTTCTTTTTTTGACACCATCTAATATTTTGATGTTGACATCACTTCAATTAAGACAAATAACACAAGCCCACTGGACTGGTCAAATGAAACAGGTCAGAGGGGCCGGCTCAATGCACTGGCTGCAGGTTTGTCCCGAAACATGGGATATGGCGCCAAATAGCCTGGGCTCCCCACGTGCTGGCTGGGTAACCCTGGGGTCAGCAGGGAACCTCTCTGGGCCTTACTCTCCTCAGCACTTCTGAGGGGAAGCTTATCAAATTGCCCTGTTATTGGCAAGTTTGTAAGGTTCCACCTCATAGGTTCTCAGGAAGACTGGATGAGATCAAGCAGGGGAAACACTCAGCCACGTACTCATACCTATAGTAAGTGCTCAATAATGAAAGGAGGCAGGCAGCGCCATCCTTAAGTAAGTTCATTTCTGTTCAGTAGCTAAAAGGGCTTTTTAGAATCCTAAATTGGCATTTGAAAGAGCTGAGGAAATCTGCCAAGATTTATAAGAATAATTATGCTTTGTGGGGTTTATTTCCTTAGACAAGAGAGTTTTTTTTAACTAGGAATTTCTCAGGGCGAGCTCTCGAGCACAAGGCCAGGCACACTGTTTTCTGCAGGCACACACAAAGAGGAAATTACCATATGGAGATTCACCAGCATGGACGCATTTGGCCAATGTTCATCTTCCATTGCCCCAAAATGAACTGATCCGCAAGCTCTGACCTGGAATCCCAACTCACTCAAAAAAGACAGAGGACAGGGCAGCGTAATGTGGACTGCAACGAAAGCCAAAGGGGAAAAGTGGCTTAATCCCAACTGGAGTCTAGATTAGTGTTTACTCAGAAGTCTGGTGTCAATACTGTGTCATCTGCCACAGTCTCTTACTGAAATTCTTTGTATTTTTTAAAGCCCGTGACAGCAAACCCTATGTTCTCTGTGCTAATTAGGCACAAAAGGTTTCTCTCACAGCTCTGATGAATGGCAACCGGCACGGCCCCGCTTACCCCACACACTGAGATGCTCAGTGAATGTACAGTTTCCACCATCCCTCAGGCTGATGTTTGGTAAACACTCAGCCAGAGACGCCAGGGCTGCCCATACCTGGCAGGAAGGACACCAGCTTGCTCTGAACAGTCTTTCCTCCCTCTCAGATTCGGGCAGGCAGCCTTGCTTTGCGTCAGGGTCTTAGGACCGACTCTCAAACTCGGTTTTCATCAGAAAATTTAGCCCAAACGCACAGGACTCGGTGACAGGTTAATTTCCAACACGCATCCCAGCCAGGGGGCTGCCTTTAGAAAATGGGAATTCCCCTTGTGAGCTATTACAGCGCTTTCAAAACAGCGAAACCAAGGCCCCAGCATCACAAGTAAATGAGAGAAAAATGTAGTTTCCCATCTGGTGCATCCAGGAAAAAAGGTGCCTTTTACCCGAGGCAGAATACAGGCTTTGTCTTCTCACAAAAGCCCTGAAACAATGAGAAAAACATAAGCAAGCTGCAAGCAGTAAGAGGGGCAGTCAGGCCAATGTCTGTCTGGTTGGAAGTTCAACCTGGAAATGCCGGGAAGTGTGACCCAAAGGCGCCCCTACGGACACAAGCAAAGTAAGCTTCTGGTCTGAAGTTAGAGCATCACTGGTAATGAGGACAGGCCCCCAAGCCCTTACGTGCTGTTTTCGAGAGCTAGACTACAAAGCAACTCTTATTTACCCTGAGCCATCACAAAGACCCAGACCAGTGCTTCTCAACTAACGAATCCCAATCCCCTTTTTGGGATCCACAGGTTTGCCATATGGGGTTTTCCATCTCGTGTCCATATGATGCTAATATTCTAGAAATGATATGATTATGTTCTATAGCATCTGAAGGCTCAATAAAAAACCAAGTCTGCTCCATCACCTCAGTCCCAATTCCAGGGTATAAATGGGTCAGGCTAGTAACAGACTTAACAGCACAGAGTGGACTCATCAGTGATCAAGTAGTGACACCAAGTGACGACCACCTGCCCCAAGGTGCCGCACAGACGTTCCCCAGCAATGGGATCGAAGAGGGGACATGGAATCAGCACGGAAACACAGGGGCACCACACGGGGCAAGCAAAAAGAATGTGCTGCGTGCCATTGTGAGCAAAGCTTTAGTGTCAGAAAAACAGCAACATCCACTGTGTTAACAATTCTGAATGGTAATGATTTTGTAAGTGCTTGACACGTCAACCAATGGCTTTCGTTTTCACTTTTATGAGATATAAGAACAAGAAATTTATACCTAATTTTAAGTTAGGTCACAAATTATTTTCATATTAATATAACAAGTCAGTAGCAGTGGGAGTCTGAGAATGTTTCCTTGTGTCCATTAGCCACTGAGGCAAGAGTGACAGACCGATTTGGTTCTGGAACATTCTGTGAGCTGCAGAGAAAATTAATCTCTCCTTTGATCAGAAGGTATGAAGTACAAAACCGCAAAGGCCTGCATTTAGCTGCAAACCTCAGCTCAACCATGCTCATCTGCAGACTCGCGGTCTCGAAGCCCTTTCCGCGGCCCGCAGCATCCCGGCTCACGGCTCCGGGAACACCTGGGCCCCAACGTGGCGAGGACACACACACACTTCGCTGGCCTACCTCGGGGGAGGGGAAGGACGAAGTGCTGGGTGGAGGGCCCACGGGAACCGTACTTACACAAAGAAGGGCATCAGCTGCACGAGGGTCTCCTTCTTGGGGCTGGCAGCAAACTCGGGGGCCACCTGGATGACCTTGTTCATGACATTGCGCAGGTAATTCTGGAGCTGCTTCCTCCGCTCCTCCACAAACTTGGCATCCTGAGAAAACATACACACACAGGGAAGCTGAGGCATGCTCTCTTTGCCCATCCAAAAACCGCCCATAGAAGACACAGCAATCCATCATACCAGATAGACAGCTAGTGGACTGAGTAACTGCCACGTGCAAATGGTGTCTAGGCTTTATATGGGCCATCCCATTGAAGAACAGGGAAGACGCTCATGATATTCTTACTAAGAGAGGCACAGCGGGTCCCCACAACCACCCACGGTGTGTTCCCACGAATGAATGAAGTCTTACAACTGTGGCCATTATGTATGGAGCACCTACAGCGAGCCAAGTATGCTGATGGGGACTGAACCATGAGCCCAAGGCTCACTGCTGTGTCGCTGGTGGAGGTCACAGGCCTGTGTGGGACACACCAACAGACCCAGGGACCACACAGGCCAAAGTAATTATTCATCCCACTAAATGCTGTCTTCCAGAGACCACGCTTAATTTGCCAACATGGGAATTTTCCAAAATATGAATCAGTCACCGCTATTTAAGAAAGGTTTTATTGATAAACAAATTGTACCTCCTCTTCAAACACGAGGCTCCGTGGCAGCAGAGGGCCCCCCAGGCTGTGGCTGGGCAGCAGGGCTCCTGCGGCAGCCACGGGCCCCCAGGTCCATGCAGTCTCTCCAGCCCTCTGCGCTCCAGGGCTCCATGCTCCTGACCCTCCTCACTCACACCCCCCACTCCACCCCCGTGTCTGCCTGGCTCTTGGCGGCACTGCCGGCCTCCCACATGTGTGTGCCTGCAGGGCACTAGAACTCGGACCTGTGTGATGGTCTGCCGTCCCCGGCTCGACATCCTTAATAATTTTGAAATAAGGGGCCCGACCGATTCTGCCCTGGGGGTCCTGGCTTACCACAAAGGCACCCTGGATAGCATGGGGGCGGGGCAGGAAACTCTGAGAGCCACATGGGGTGAGCAAGGACAGGAAGAAGGGGGTCACCCATCCTCAGGAGAGCGTGAGAGGAGACGCACTCTGACTCATGTCACACGACATGAGGTGGTGGCGCTGAGAGTGTCTGGGTTGCGTGTGCATGAACGAGGTCCCAGAGACGGAGTGGGGCACTCCCCCCTGCCCCCGCCAGCACACAGCCGTCCCCGGGAGGGGCTCGGCAACAGTCTGCTGAACACGGCTGCGCTCACAGGCACTCAAGAACCTGCCCAGAACCTGCCCTGATCTCGGGATTAGAGTCCCCACAAAGCCAAGGCCCTGAGCACGGCAGGGAGATTCTTTAAGTGTTGCCCGATTTAGCAAACAAAATTACAGGATGCTGGGTGATAGCTGAATTTCAGATAAACAATGCATAATTTTTCAGTATTCATAACTCAATATTCAATAATTCATGACTCAATAATTTCTCAGTATTCAACTACGTACCACACAATATTGAGACATACTTGAACTAAGAAATTATTCATCGTTTATCTGAAAGTCAAATTTCACCGGGCATCCTCTGTTTCCTCTGGCAGCCTTCCCGGAGCACCAGGACGGAGGAAGGGTCATGGAGCTGCGGCTGCCGCCAAGCCCCCGGGGGCTCTTTCCAGGTCCCAGCAAGGTCTCTTCCAGAGTCACCCCCGCGGCTGTCTCAGCACAACCCTCCTCCAGAGGGTGAGAGCACTGAGCGCGGCCGGCCCAGGGCGGGGAGCTCGGGGCCCCGCTGCCCAGACGGGGCGCGCTGGGCGGGGAGAGCAGCAGGTCCTGGGCCCCGTGCTAGAGCCGGCCACTCTGAAGTCCCGCATCACTGCGCAGTGAGAAGCTCCTCCTTGGGAAGTCGGTTAACGTGCCAGGTGAGTGCCGCATGGAGCTCATGAGACCTGAGTGCTCAGCGGCACAAAAGCCTGCAAGGCCTGCCTGAGAGGCCGTGGCGGGACAACAAAGGAGCCCATCAGCCCCAGGGGAGCTGGCAGAGGTCTCCCCGTTTCTGCAGCAGGGAGTCAGCATGCTCTTACAGCAACACGCAGAGATGGCAGACGGCTCCTCACGCTGCCTGCAGGGTTCGGACCCCAGGGAGGTGAGGACACGCAAAAGGGAGGGGAGAGGATGCCACCCAGGGGTCGAAAAACACCCGTTTTCACTTGTCTCAGGGCCTCCTCAAGCCCAGGTCCTGGGGGCTGCAGTGACATGGCAGAAAGGTTATCACCCTGGAAGAATCCCAAATCCTTGCACGTACTCATTCCTCCAGATGGCCGGTGCCTGGAAACCCGGCCAGGCCCTGAGAAGACCCCACATGGCAGCAAATCTCACTTTGACAAGTGGGCAATTTTTACCCGAGCGATTCAGAATAAGCAAAGGTATTTGTGGAATCATTATTCATGCTCTGTGCTCAGCGCGTTCCTTGCCTCGCATGCTTACAACCCGTCTGAGGCTGGAAACAGAAGCTGAGAACGGGCAAGGAACATGCCCGAGGGCTCAGAATCGGGAGGCAGATGAGCAGGGTCCCGGGTCTTCAACCCGTGCACAGTCTTCAACCTGTGCAGAGTCGGAGCCATCCTCCATCCAGAAGACATTCTTCAACTTAACAGAAGAAAAAGCTACGAGTCTTCCACAGCATAGGCTTCCCCAAACCAGGATTCAGTTCAGAGAAATTCCATTCGGGGGTCAGCACCAGCAGAAGCTGTTGACCATACGAAGAGAAGAAAGCCGTGTGTCACCTTGGTGCCCAGCAGCCAACCTCTGCCCAGGACATCGCTTCCCTCGGGTCTCAGTCTGATCTGGAGGTGCCGACACCCCGAGTCCCCACAGAGATCTCAGTGGAGCAGGGAAGATCTTAGAACTCTTCGTGGAAGACTGCATTTTTTCTCTCGTTTGTCATTTCATTTTTACTTTATTATGGAAATTTCAAAATATGGCAAAAAGCAGAGCAGATCATACCAGGAATCCCCATAACCCTTTACCTAATAAAGTCATAGCCCTTTTCTGTATTTGCTTCATCATTGCTACCTTTTTGCTGAGGTCTTTTACAGTGAATTATAGTCATCGTGACATCTCACCACGGGGGGCTTCGGCATGTCTTCCTAAAACATGAAGAATGCTTTCCTATTTAACCACAATACCATTAGCACCTCTAACAAAATGAATGCTGATTTGCTGGTGTTAGCTCATACGCAGGCCGCGTTTAAACATTTCCGTTTTTCAAATGTGTCTATTGCTTCTCGAATTTTTTAAAAAGGGGCTGTCATCCATCCCAGAAGGAAGCCGGTGACTCCAGGAGGTTGAACGCCGACACTATCCAAGACAGACTCCCCCTCGGGGATCCGCCAGCTTCTGACCCTACTGGTGAAGAAGACTTTACTTTTTCCACCACCAGCCGCCGGTGGCTTGTATGGCCTAGAAATATTAAAACCAGGATATTTCTGCAAAATCCAGATTCCTGGCCTCCCTTGAAAACTAAGCAATCTTGCCCTCATTAGCTGCAGGCACAGGGCCACCACGCCTCCCAGTCCACCCCGCCTTGGTCCAATCCCCTGCCTGGCCTCTTGGGCCCCTATAAAACCAGCCGAGAGGCCACACTGTGGGATGATTGCACCCGATGATGTCCCCTCAGGCAGGCAGAGCGACCTGTGTTGCCCTTTACCAGCTCCACCTCAGGGGGCTAAACCAAGGGGGGCCTCAGGCTTCTCATCCATAAAATGGGGATAAGGACAGAGCCTACCTCACTTGTGATAACCTAGGCTATGCCCCTGGTAACGAACACCATCTGCCGGGCTATGACAGACGGTGATTCATGGATGTTCCGCCAGGATTTTTCCCTCAAGGCATTTCTATGTGGACAGGGGGATAACAGGCAGGCAGATGGTAGATGTTGAGGCGGGGTAAGTGCTATGAAGCAGCGATCCACGGGTGCTCGGGGAAGCTCGAAGGAAGTTTGCAAGAGGGACGGAGAGAGGGTTTCAGTCAAAGGAAGTCACTGTTGAAAACACTGCTTTAGCATCTCTTGGGGAAAAGACACGTCAGTCAGAGGGTCCAGGTGGGTCCCCTCAGGTGGGGAACAGACCTGCCAAGGAGAGGGAAGAGCAAATGCAAAGGACAAAGGCCCCATCGCTGGGCTCAGCCACGTGAGCGAGAGCAGACTAGTGGCAGCCGGACTGGACCATGTACAGCCTTGGAGACCATCGGAGAAGGAGGCCGGTCGGAGGAGGGAGGTAGGAAACCTGTGATCTCACAGGCATTTAGGAAGACCACTCTGGGGGACATCGGCTGCAGGCTGCCTTCGACAGAGAGCTCTTTCAAACGTCTGTCACGACACTGTCCTAGCTCAGAATTGTTCAGTGGCTCCCGGTGAACTCTATCCAGCCCCAGCAAGCACATCTAAACCGTCAGCACGGCTCACGGGGAGCTGCACAACGTGGCCACAGCCACCTCATTTCACGTCTCCCTGTCCCCCCTGAGCACCTACCCAACACTGCGAACGCATCTGCCCCCCACCCCCCCTCTCCCCGTGTCACACACACTCTCTCAGTGCCTTCTAGCCTTTCCAGAGCCGTTCCCTTGGCCTGGAATACCTCGCAATGTCGGTGTCTGCTCTTGGGCCACCACCTCTGAGAAGCCCTCCAGGACACACTAGCTAATGTTGCTCGGCTCTCTCTTCTTCGTGGTCCTCACGGCTGCCTGGAATGGTTTTGCTGACTCATCATGTGCCTTTTGCTCCCCCACCTCCCCTTGTCAATCGTAAGTCCCAGGGAGGCAGGTCCATTACCTGTCTTGTTCCACCCGCATCACCAGAGCCTAACACAGCGCCTGGAGATCACGAGAGGCCCCACAAACTCTTACTGCAAGAACGAATAAACGCGGGGGATGAATTCAGGGGAGGAAAGGCAGGCCACGAGGCAGAACGGTTTGAAGGCTGTGGCCAAGTCCAAGGAGAGTGGACAAAGACCCTTGTGGGGAGTGGGATGAAGGAAAGGAGGCTGGCCTCCACATGGCCTCGGCCAGCAAGCTGAAGACAGGTAATAACTGCACACGGACAGGGAGTTGGTCCTT